TTTTTAATCCATCGAGAAAACCTTCCTGGTGTAACCTCCCCAGAGTCCTCAGCATCAGGCGTTGCCCCTCTCAGGCTGGGTCTGGATAGTGTTGAAGGCTGAGTGTGTCTCCCCAGCACCCTGACAGCGGGAGAGAACTGCCTAAAAAAAGCACCCCCCCCCACCCACCCACCCTTCCAGCACTCACTTGGCTGGCTCTCTTTGATAACATCTGGCAGGGGGGCAGCAGGAGATGGAGGGGCATTGAAGTCCTGTCACTCACATTGGGCTGACTGAACCTCAATCGCTTACACCGGAGTGTCACTGATGATCTCCCTTTCTCTCTCTCTCTCTCTCTCTCTCTCTCTCTCTCTAATGGGTCTGATGATATTCCACTTGGCATTGTTGCTTTTTATTCTGAACTCTTATATGTTTATCTTATCATTAAAAGAACCCAGACTCATGAATCCTCAGAACAAGAGATAGACCTTAGTGTGACGTTGGATCTAAACATTCTTATAGAAGAAAAGTGTTTATCTCAACAGAGAAGACGAAAGAGGGAGAAGGGCCGGAAAGGACTGGACCTATATTTGTTCCAGTGAAGGGGCTCACAAGAAGTTTACAGGGGGCCAAATGTGAGTTTCAACACAGCTCCCCCCGGAGAGGCTCAGACCTATTCAACATCCATCCTTCTCCATTTTCTCTCTGTTTACTTCTCAGTTCATGAGTTTACATGCCAATTCCATTACAGGGATTAAAATAGTTTGTCCAATCCATCCTCAAACTCTGCTTCCTTTGTCCTTCTCCCTCCTTAAACCCCTCACTCCACTTACTTTCAGGCTTTCAGGGTCCCAGGGCTGGGTTAGGTTGGGGGGGGGGGATTACAGGACAAGAACGCTGCACCCAGAGAAACACAAGGCGGCTGTGCTGAAGAATGTTCCAACGAGATGTCCGAGCATTAGCGAGAGCTGAGGCTGCGACGCGTGTCTGCACTAGCGAAACACTTCACGGAGTGTCTGAAAGAGAAGAAAGAGAAAATGAAGGTGTGTTTTGACATCGGGCTCAGGGTCACCTTTGAGCTCTGCTGATTAAGGGCTGGTGTTCACAGGTGAGCGGCTCCGAGCAGGATTTAGTGACACACAGGCGCAGAGGTGAAACCATCCGATTCTCCCGGCCCAACGTCAAAGCAGAAATACGCAGCTGACCTCTTCCCCCAAAAATGGCCAAAGGCAAATGTCAGGAGATAAGTGAGCTCTGTGACCGTGCTCTGCTCGCTCAAAGAAAAGTGATGGCAGGTGAACTTTCAGGTTTTTAAAGTCACTTCTCAAACAAAACTTGTACACACAGAAAAAAAAGGCTACATAGATTTATTGATGCATAAATATTTGCAGATTTGAATGAGATAGTATCCCAAACTTTTCTCATTCACAGATTCAAAGGCTGTGAGATCAGAGGTTCTTATCATAAGCAGTCTGCCAGTGGCTGCCTGTGGCCTGTGGGTCTAAGCCACCCGCAGTTGGTAATCCCCTTCGGAACTGGAGGGGCTCAAAGGGGCTAAGCCTGGTCAGCACCTAGGAAAGGACATCCACAGAATATCTTCAAGTGCTCCCAGCAGCCAGGTTGGTAAAACAAAGCTGAGGCTTTCTTGGTGGAAGGAAAACAGCCAGACTCTCAAGCCAGTGAATCATAAGAGTCAGAGTGAATTCTCAGTTTGAATGATGAAAATTAAGCACTTTATTATTATTATAAAACTTATTTAAAGAAATGCCACTTGGTCTTAAAGACGCAGACAAATCTGCAGGATTCAGTAAACCAGTTGTTTTCAACTGGTCTAGTCTCTGGACACACAACCAACTCCTTCATGACCCAAATTTCTGATATTTTTCCACCAATCAGATTTATTAAAAAAATATATTGTGCAGTTTGGACCACAAACTGTACAAAGAAACAGAAAAAGGCAAACGTGTTTAAAAGCGCTTCGTAGACTTGTTGACAAAAAAACATTCCTGGCACATATTCGTGACCCAATGAAAACGGATCTGCGACCCACTTTTGGGTCTCCACCAGTTGAGAACCACTGCATTAAGTCTTAGCCTTAAACCACTTAACAGGGTTGATGTCAAATGGAATTTTCCAACATTATACTTACTGTGTTTAATGCCTCATAATCTTTGTTTGTGTATCTGAATGGTATATCTGACAAAATATGTAGTTCTAGAATATATTGTTATCCATCATATCACCATCCATCATGCATGACAGGTGAGGTGTGCATGAGCAGCTGTTTCTAACTGATACACACATTGTGCAGGTCGATCTTTATCGTATCCGTGCAAAACAAATAAGTCCATAACTCTGCTGTTTGTGTTTTTTTTGGGGGATGTGACTGTTATTTAGACTTATCTGCAGTTTGCTTCTTGTGGTTTATGGGAATGCTGGTGTGGGCTGGTGTGGTTATCTTTTATGTCCACATGCTGACGTAATATAGCAATATCTCCTGTCCCGCATCTCAAAACATCCTGTAGTCAAATATGTAACAATTTAGTTGTTGTTAGTTCACCCAAAACAGACGTGATAAAGAGCAGCGTCTCTAACACTGCAGCATTGTCCTGTCACATATTCCAGTCAGTATTTGGCAAGCAAAACTTAAATAAAGGGAAGTAAGTAGAAATCAACAACATAAAAAAATCAGAGCTGATTATTGATTGTTGGCAGTAATGTCAAAACTGTAATATTGTGAAGAATACTGCATTTAAACATATCAAGCTTCTGGTATCATGTGCATGTGAGGTGGGTCACTTCTTTTTAAACCTTTTTAAAGCCTACATCTGTATTAAATCAAAGATAATTCCAACAATCCTATGATATTAATCAATTCAAGAGGCTGTAACAAAGGGATCCATTTTGACACACTGGTGCAATATCAGGTCATCGGCATGATCCGTCGTAGTCTTTGAACTTGAAAGTGAATAACATGAAACACGGATCCCACAAGAAAGTCTGTAACCTCGACTAGACTTGACTGCATGACAAGGTCGCCATCAATGAGACAAAACACAAATGGCTTTTTTATAAATAGTGTTAAGATGAGACAACTGCAGCTTGAGATCCAGCGGCAGGAGTCATGCAGAAGGTATGCAGCAGAAGGTGAGGAACATCAAGTGGCCTGAGTCACAGAGAACATCTCAAATGCCAAACACAGATGAGCACACACGAATGTCAATTAATTGTAGCTTGTGCACTTGGTTGCATTGAGAGCAAATAGGGCGAGCACCACAACCAATGACTTTCAGGGTTAAATAAAATTAATAATGATGATTAAAATAAATTCTCTGATTGAGACAAAAAGTTCCGAAAACTAATGTGAGTAGTTTCCCCAAGTTTATATGTCAAACAATTCATCCCTGTATGCTCTATTTTGACAGAAAAAGAAAATATCTGAACCATATTTAATCGTTACCTGAGGATGATCCTCATCAGTACTTAGAAGGTCATCAGTTGATTTTCCCGTTTCAGCTGTACCGCTCACTGCAAAGGACAGAAATACCAAGAAGCTTGAAGCTACACAAAACTTGCCCCCACGTTTCCGAAAGACAATAAAAAGCGGCCTCTTGGTAATCCATTTTCAAGTGAGCAAACATTTATGGAATAAGATAAACCATTTTTAGGGAATGATTAAAGCCCTTGGAAATAAATATTGTATCGATCAACTATCTAGAATAAATCTGGTACAGCCTCCATGATAGGAAAATGGTGTGCCACAGGGAATCGTTCTGGGTCTCATACATTTTTTAAAGATTCATTGAACATGTAAACCCTTCTTTGGTACATTTTATAACATAACAGAACTGACTTAATAGTGAAATGCTGTAATATTTCTGGCTGTTGTATCAGACACAAATCAGAGCCAAAAGAAGTATAATTTTTAGACGTGTCATTTTTAGACATCCCTGTCGGGTAATATTTTTTAAAGTATAACCTTTTATATAATTAACATAATTGTTTTTAAGAGCTGTTTGAAGAGTAGCTTAATAATTGTCCTAACTGCTCTAGGTCAACAAAGGCAATGAAACGTACTTCCTTTGGATTCTCTAAACTTTTTGTTTACACTCTATGAGCACAAAAACCTTTGTAACCATTTAATCTAGCTCTGTTTAACTTGTAACAACTCAAAAATATTTTAGTTGGGGTGTAAGAGGAAGAATGTAACATAAAGGTCGGCCATCAATTGGGTTCAGGGTTAGCTAAAGATTACAACAACCACAGGAGCCTTGTTCAGAGAATAGCTGTTGAGTTTTTAAGGACAGTGATTACTTCATTTTGCCTCATTCTCTCCATTAGTGATGACTGTTAAGGGCCCCATTAACACCATGATTGACTCTAAAGATATATGAATAAATGAATGGATTTCCCCTCCATGCTTGAGGAAAAAATAAAAACGAGATATAAATGTAGAAAAAAAACAAGTTTCCCCCACAAGTTTAGACATGTATAAAAATTAAGATATTGAGATATTTGTGGAAAAATGCACCAGGTTTTTTTTTTTTTATTATACTGATATGATGTCGTTTTACTAGGTAAATATAAAAGTCATTCTAATTTCTATTACAAGCTGAATGTAAATGACTGAAGTTTTCTTCAGACAGCTGTCTGCGTCTGCAGGTATGTGGGTCTTTTTATTTAGAGCACCACGACGTTATCCTTGCAACAAGTCATTTAATGTCTGGAGCCCTTGCATTTAAATGCAGATTCGCAGCATTTAGCTATTGGGCCCCGTCGGCTGTTATTCAAAGTCAAATTACAAAGTTTCAAATCATGAGAAAGAAAATAGTGCGCGCAATGAGCTCTCTTTATTTAAAGTGGAGGAGGAGGGAAGAGGGGGGTTATCCAAGGTGTTTGAGACAGATGAGGGAGGTGGGGGTAGGAGAGGAGGGAGGGAAGGAGTAGGAGGAGGCAGGGAGGGTAAATTGGGCGGACACATAAAAACTGCAAGGGGCCATAGATGCTGGATCATTTGGAAAATCTGTTCGTCCTGCGCACCAGTCGCCCTAACAAGCTGAACTAGAGACGGATAGAAACCTCGCTGCAGACCCGGAGCACCGGCCTTCACTCCGACCTCGTCTCCTCTGGTCCGATCAGATCAGAGGTGTCGCTAAAGGATTAATGAGGCAGTAAGGCACCCAGCTTCTCCTTCAAGGCTCATTTCGGCGTTTTTCGGCTTTACGCCCGGACTGCCTTACACCTTCCCTGTCTTATTCACTTCATTTGAGGATACCTGTACCTCTACTGATGGTAAGCGCTTATCTGCTCACACATTGACACACAATAGAGATCCAGCAGCGCAGCTTTGACAAACTCAACCTGTTGAATAACACAAGAGGAACCACGGTGACAGTTGTTGACTTAAAAGTTTTGTTCTGTGGTGTTTTTGCGCGTTCAGAGATCGTCAATGAGTGTGACAGATGAATACATTTCTTTTAAAATCAAACAGCCTACCAGATTGATACAGAAAGGGAAACCAAGCGTCAAAAGAGCATGTGTGGATGAATAAAAGCGAAGTTGTCGTGTTGGAGCTCGTAACAGCCTTTTGTGCCGGAGATATGAGCACTGACAAACCTGCAATGTGAGGTCATATCCAAACACAGTATCCGATTTCTATGCCACTCTCTTCCTTCAGCAAAATTGAATATTTATACATTTTGATTTGTAACTTTCTGCTGAAGTTTGGCACGGCTTTTCACCCGATTCAACACCTGTGTCTCCTTCGTGTCACCTCAGTGTGCGTAATGTTGAAAGATGGAGATGACAGTGCTCAGAATTCGTGCCAGGATAGGAAAAAATGTTTTTAATTTTTCTAAAAACTGTTTTAATTAAATTTCAGTTTGGAACTCACGTTATTCCAGTTACATTTTTTGCGCATTATTATTTGTGAAATGTTGTCATGTCTGACCACTTGTGACACGATGTGTAAACGCATTTGGTGCAAACAAATTACAGATGGGATGCCAGTTACTCAATTGGGAATTAAAAAGCTCAAATGTTTCTTTTCTGATTTTTCACACACATTTATCTTATTTGGTAACGAATAGTGATAATAGAGTATCACTGTGTCAGGTTAAACAGCAACATAAACGCTGCAGCAGAGACACTTTTTGCGGCCTGCAGGCGCATGGCGTCTTTGGCACACTCCTTTACTTTTCAACTCAAGTTTCGCTGCCATCATGCGGAGGAAAGATTTGCCAAATTTTTGTTGCAGAAACAATAAATAATCAAATTAAATTACATTCTTTTTATTAATGGCTAGTCTTTGGATCTCGTGCATCTGATAGTTTCAAAGTTTGCGATTTTCTTTTGGTAAATATTGGAGGTGCTAACATTTTTTTTTAACTCTACAGAATGGCTCTTCTTTTACATTTTTTGTTTGTAATAGGCTATATTACACTCTTGAACTGGTTTTGCTAACCAGCTCAGAGCATTACACTTTGACAAGAGTAAAACCCCTTTAAACTGACTTCTGGAAGAGATCTTAACGCTTTTCAAAATGTTTGAAAAGTTAACAACTCTTCTTGTGTCTCAGAAAGTACAACAGCTAACAAAAGCATTAACCTGGTTACAGTGATCTCACTGACTGTGAATGTTCTCACTGTTCAGCTGCTCACTGGGAGCAAATCAAACCTCAAACCTGCACTGCTCGACAACAACACAACAGCCGGTCTCTGTTTTGTTTCTGTCAATACAAATGAGGATATTGCGATTTGTTGGGCACAATGGCAGTGAAGCTCCATGCTATTATTTAAAATCCGCTAAGCTTCTTTTAAAACTAATTTGTATTAGGGAGTAAACAAAGACTTGAATTTTAATCCATCTTTTTGTACTTTCTTATTGTAGCCATTAGAATAATAAATACAAACTAAAATTTATAAAAGCTTCCTCCAGCAACCAAAAGAGGACTTACCCTTACTTCAATTCCCATGAGTATTAAAGGCTTGTTAAACTGAGAACTTAAATCTAAAGATGATAAAATCAGGCCAGAAATTTGGCTGTTCCTGTGGTAATCTGTTGCCCTCCTCCCACCCGCCGTCCCTCCCTCTCTCCTTTCAGTTTTTCCTCCCACCATCACTGTCAAATTCCTCAGGAAACACATCTGAAGAGCCATGTGCATAGTCTGATCACATTATCTCTGGTCAGAGAGAGAGGCCAAGGGGGATCCAGCAAAGCCAAGGGCAGTTGACTGCTTCGGCCTAATTGCAGCCTGGTCTGCATTTGTTGTTGCAGAAGCCTGTCGGTCAGTTTAAATGTGATCCAAGTGTACGGCCTCTTCAGATGTTTTTATATACGAGCAGCTTAAAATGAGTACAAAGTGTCGGTAAATGTGAAGAAAATCATTTGAAAAATGAATGGAGTTTGGTGTCGCTCAAAATATATATATATATTTTTTTATTGACACTGGCCAGAAAAATGAACGCAGTGACTTTTCCCAGAGTTGAAAGTTCCTCCCCGTCTGCCTTACATCTTCTTTCATCATCATCGCACCACTCTGAGTGTCTGAATGTCTTAGCCTGCAGCTTTGTCAGTGGCTGGTTACAGTTACAAGATGTTCTGTATGGTCAGTGTTTTTGAGTGCTATGAATCCCTGTAATCATGGGAGAGGCCCTCGCTGTACAATGAGCGTTTGTTGTAAGAGATGTGCACTCACACACACACACACACACAAATACACACACACACGTTATCCCCCCACCCCATGGGTAATAGAGCTGATCATGTTCTGAACCCTCCTCTCCCCTCTCTCTGTGCCACAGTTCTCACGAACATGCGAGCGGTGGCACACACTTATGCACACGTACATGCACACAATTGATCTCATGCACACACACACACACACACACACACACACACACACACACACACACACATCACCCTCTTTTCAAACACACACATTGGATCCAGTGTCATGACCGAGAAAGGAGGGTCAGTCGTAGGTCAAAGTCTAATGCTGTTAGCAAAAAGGTCCTTGATTGCATGTACGGTGAGCCATGCAGGGGCCGAGATAATCACACAGATACTATCCCAGACATGCTTGAACACACACATAAAGCGCACACACACACACATACACACACACACACACAGAAAATGTTCCTACTTAAATGCATCTTCACTGTGTAGTAATGTTTGGGTGTTCTCCAGTGGAACAGGCTCCAATCCAAATGATGACCGAAGACCTATTTAGTGCCATTGTTGTGGTAAAAAAAAAAAAAATCAGTAACTTTATTAGCATGATTCAACAACATTTAGTACTTTTAAATGACGTGTAACAGAAGTGAATCATTAGAGCCACATTGCTGTAATTGTTAAAACCACCCAAGGACAAAACAAAAAAGAGTATGTTACAGCGAAGACAAAATCTTCTATAAAATCAGGGAGACGATGCTCCAAAAACTTTCAGTTTTAATCAAATTATTCTTCTGGTACATAATCCAAGAGAATATTCTTCCAAACTCTGATTAAAAACAAGAGTAATAGCCAAAGATTATCTTTTTTTAACAAACACGAGCGCCGAGCGTATGCCTCTCCAACTGATGACAGTGATGTCAAAGAGCAGAAGGCCTGTCATCAGCGTCACTACAACCTGTGTGATCCCTCAAGTGGGGGGGGAGTGTTAACCAAGAGATGAGGCCCTTTTTCAGATGGATGTGTTTAGTTTCTTGTGTAAGGTGTGTGGTGGGGGGGGGGGGTAAGGGTGGACGAGTTCACTCTGGAGACGGGTTCTGTAAGCAAGCAGCCCTCTTGTTTTGGATATGGATTTTACCAGTCCCGATCAAAGCGGTGTTATCAGCTCTTTGGTCTGAACATGAGAGGAGTGTTTTTGATTTTTTTGTTGGGTTTTTTTTCTCTCTGGGAAGGGCTAGGAGCATTGAAAAGAATCTGCTTTTTAAATCATGTACTTGGAGTAGATGTAGGTGCAATGAATGAGGTGTGTTTTCTGTCTTATGTGGTGTAAGGCATCATAGTTCTGCCGTCTGTGTTGTGGCACATACCTCTTTACATTCCAGTTACAAGTAAATAGCTAGCTTAGCCTAAGAGCCAAAATGATAAGCCTTAAAGAGACACTCCGTCTCTCTTTAACCAGCACACACACATTACCACTCTTAAGGTAACATGTAACAGTCTCAGTCTATAATCCTCCCGTTTTTTGTCTGTCTTTCAGGAACAGGGTCACTCCAACGTTCTCCTGCAGCCGCCCAACACCACCTAACATTTCCTGGAAGAACGTGTCCATAGCTCGCTCCCAACAAACATGGACTGTTTTCCCATGCTTTATTTTCTGTCGGTAAGTAAGTGGACCATGCCATTTCAATTTGTGGCTTGTGACGTATTGCAACATCTCCCTCTATTTTTTTTTCCCCCCATTGAGTCACTGATTTATGTGGCATCCTACAGACTCGAACTGAAAGTCACAAATGGGTGTTGGGTAAGGCACTGTTACGAGGAAGAGATTTTCAGTTAGATGTTTGGCAGATTGTCTTTGGTTAGAGGAGACTGTTCAGGGACCGTGGCTCCTTATCAAGTTAAGAATTTGCTCTGACCCCGGGGCTGCCTCTTTCATTTGTCTAATCATAGCGGAGGAGGGAGGAGATCAGTAGGGAGGGGGGGAGAGTGAGGAGAAATGGCCCTCGAATTCCATTCAAGAAAGTTTGATTCTTGAAGCAGCTGTTTACACTTGGAGAATGTCCCCAAAGATAAACTGCAAGCGGTCTATCTGATTAAGGACTGCTTTAATGTAAACAAGACAGTCTGGAGTATTCCAAGTCTTCCTTCAGTAAGGGAGATGAATGAGAAGATGATGTATAGGCTGGATCGCTCTAGGGAATCCATGGACAAATCTTTTATGTCAGTTTAAAAAAGAAGCCTTTCTGTAGCCTTGTCATCTTTCTTCTTTCAGTAATTTCTCCCCTTTACTCTTTTCTAATCTTTTATCTCCTTGCCATCTGCTGCTCCCCTCAGAGACATCATGATTCCTGGTAATCGAATGCTGATGGTCATTTTAATATGCCAAGTCCTGCTGGGAGAGAGCAACCATGCTAGTCTGATACCTGAGGAAGGGAAAAAGAAAGTACCAGGCCTGCAGGGTCGTTCGGCCGCTCAGAGCCATGAACTACTGCGGGACTTCGAGGCCACGCTGCTGCACATGTTCGGCCTCAAGAGGCGGCCGCGGCCCAGCCGCTCGGCCACTGTGCCGCGCTACCTGCTGGACCTCTACCGACTACAGTCGGGGGAGGCTGAAGACGTCGGAGCGCACGACATCGCTTTTGAGTACCCGGAGAGGTCAGCCAGCAGGGCGAACACTGTGAGGGGCTTCCATCATGAAGGTAAGAGAACAATGGAGGATGGATCTAAAAAAACAACAAACAAAACGCAGGAAAACGTCTAGCCATCAGCAGGAGCAAGACACCCAAATGTTACACAATTCTGCACCCATTAGTCATAGCTGCAATACATGCCAATATTTTTGGTAGTAATGTATTTCATTAGAATGGGCGAGGACTGCTAAGCATTCAGGGTGTAAAACAACATTTCCTACAACCCTTGAAACATGATTGTGAGGCAGCTCCACCCATCTCACCATAACCAAGGAATCTAAGGATGTGGTCACCAAACACTGTCTGCAGAGGGGCATTAAAAATTCTGCTAGACAAGCTCTCCAGAGCCTCATTTGACAGAACTCTGCATGTTTGGTTAGCAGCCGAAGGAAAAGCAAACCTCCTTCTCACCCCACCCAGCAGAGAATGGCTCAAAAAAGCCCGGCCTTGGCCTGGAATCGTATAGTGTGTGCTCTTCTGTCTCATGTCTTTGGTTTTATATGGAGGGCTCTTTTAGATGGACCATCCTCAACGTGCAATTATCTTTAATGCTACTCTGCAGGCTTCTAAATAAAGCTCCTGCTGCCAACAATATGGGTGCTGAGAGCAGACACTGCAGCTCTCTAAAGAGATGGAAAAACAGTCTCAGGAGCTAGTGCGATAGAAGGACTGGAATGCCGTTTAATGTGCTTCAAGTCTGCTTCGTTTTAGCTGCGAAAGAAGTTTAACTAACTGGACTGAGTTGTTTCATGTGGGTTGAAAATGGAAAGCTTGACTGAAACTCTTCCGATAAGTGCATGAACACAATGTTTGGCAGAGAGGTGTTGCACCAGATTTAGCAAGGGTAGAGGCAATCTTGCCAGAGAACATGGGAAACAGGGGAGCTTTGGGGCTACAGAACATGTCCGCCCTTAGGGGGAGGAGTGAGGAAGGAGGGATGAGTCAGCCTTATTGGGGATTGTCAAACACACTGCTAGCAGTAGCACACAGAAACATGCATTTAAACAGCAAAGTACCAAGGCTAGTTAGCTAGGCTTAGCAAAAGCACTGCATGTGATGCAATGTGTGTGCACAAATGTGTGTTTGAGTACGGATTTCTGCTGCTCTCTACAGGCGTTTACCCTCCTTCTCCTTCGCTAAACTATGTTAATAATACGTTCTGAGGCCTTTTGAGTGGGAGTTCTTTGCTTTCATGGAAGCACTATTGTGCAATAGTGTGATTCAGCTGTCTGATCTGGCCAAAACAAAGAGAGGTTTTTCACTCTGTAGCAGATGGACACATAAGTGAAGAGACATGTTAAACTGTGCAGCCATTCATTTTTAATTCAATAAGAAAGATTGTTGTTTTTTTGGTTTGCTGCTTATGATTGGTGACATCTCCCTACTTTCTTTGATTGTGACTGCAAAGTCGATATCATAGTGTGCATGCTTGCACATTTGAATCTTGTACAAGCCTTGTTAAAGGATTGAACTCATTTCATCCCCCTCCTTTCCCCATGGGCTTCAGATAAATAAGATTCTTCTGTATCGTCTGACTCCTTAATGATTATTCATGATGAAAATGATAAACGTCTTAAGTGAACAAACTGCAGAGCCAATCAAAAACACAGCAGGTTTTGATAATGAGAACCACCTGGGCAAGATTAGGGCCTGGGTGTGAAATAACAGGGGTGGATTGAGCAGGAAAATAGTAGACACAACATTCCTTTCCCCAACAATGGTGATCTTGCCAGAAAATCTGCAGACTGAGCGTGGAACAGGGAGCCTCCACTGTGTTTATACTGTAGCTGTGGTACGATAATCACCACCCTCCTTGTAATGCGTGTTTCAGCAAAGTGCTCAGGGAAAGGCATTGAGAGAAGAGCTGGGTAATCCTTAAAAAGAGATAAGGAAGCATGGACCATATATATTTACATTCACTTAATACCTAAGAAGCCTTAAAAAGTGTGCATTGGCATCATTTGGTTTCAGTTCGGTAGAGATTAGTAATGAGCGACTGCTGTGAACATTTTTGAGGGTAAAGAACACATTCAGATGGATGGACCACAGATTATATTAAATGGAAAGTTGCTAGTTTAGTTTCTTCACATTGCACCGGCTGACATCACAAGTTTTGATGTGATGGAATTTTGCAGCTAATCAACAATCCCCTTTTTTCTTCTTTCCCATTTTCAGAGCACATGGAGAGGGTGCACGAGCTGGACGACAGAGAAGCCACGCCCTTCCGCTTCCTGTTTAACCTCACCAGCATTCCAGAGGACGAGCTGCTGTCTTCGGCTGAGCTGAGACTCTACCGTCATCAGATCGACGAGGCCATCGCCAACAGCCTGACGGATGACCAGGGGCTCCACAGGATAAATGTGTACGAGGTGCTGAAGCCCCCTCGGCCCGGGCAGCTCATCACGCAGCTCTTGGATACGCGGCTTGTGCGTCATAACGCGTCGCGCTGGGAGAGCTTTGACGTGAGCCCTGCCGTGCTGCGCTGGACTCGCGAAGGCCACCCGAACTACGGGCTGGCGGTGGAGGTTCTGCACCTCAACAAGACTCTGCAGCACCAGGGCCAACATGTCCGCATAAGCCGCTCGCTCCACCAGGAGCCCGGTGAGGACTGGGAGCAGCTACGCCCCCTGCTGGTTACCTTCGGCCACGACGGGAAGGGTCATCCGCTGACCCGCCGGACCAAGCGCAGCCCAAAGCAGCGTGGTCGCAAACGCAACCGCAGCTGCCGGCGCCACGCACTGTACGTGGACTTCAGCGATGTAGGCTGGAATGACTGGATAGTGGCGCCCCCTGGCTACCAGGCCTATTACTGTCACGGGGAATGTCCCTTTCCCCTGGCAGATCATCTGAACTCAACAAACCACGCGATTGTTCAGACATTGGTGAACTCTGTGAACAACAACATTCCCAAGGCGTGCTGTGTGCCCACAGAGCTCAGCGCCATCTCCATGCTCTACCTGGATGAACACGACAAGGTGGTCCTAAAAAACTACCAGGAAATGGTGGTGGAGGGCTGCGGCTGCCGCTAACACACAGACTTCGTAGAGAACTTGGACTTGGACTAGCGACCAGAAGAAAAAAAAAAAAGCTAAATGGACGCTAAACAAACCAGAAGTCTTTACTCCCAAAAAATGTTCACTTGGACCCTTATTTATAACTTTTAAGTTGAGGTGTATGTTTGTCTCACTTTTTTTTGTTTCTTTGACAATATGATCATATATTTTGACAAAATATATATATTTATATCTACATATAAAAAATAAATTGAGTCCTTATTTTAAACATAAAAAAAGCTGTACAACTTTTCATAATGTACATTAGATTGTAAAAGGTTTTTTATTGAGAAAATAGTAAAAACAATCTAAAAAGTAAAGTTTATTTACTGGTAATATTTATTGCTTTCATTTTTTTTATTGACGTCTTTTTATGAAAAAAATAAAACCATGGTTTTTTTTTTTACCACAAGCACATTCACGCAAAAGGAAACGAAGAGAGCTGTGTGTATCGGTCACAATATTATTTCTTCTAGGGTCGGGAAAATAATCCGAAATGTATATCTTACAAGTTGATTTTGGTGATTTTAAGAAGCCCTTTAACCATCCAGTAAAATTTTTGTAATTACATTTTCCACCAGGAAGTTTAAAGAAAATTGGCAGTCACCATTCACTTCTTTTAAACATGAATTTGGATTTAAATTCCAAGCTGGGTACTTCCCACGATGGCATCTTTTAATGTGGGTCTTTTAAAAGAAGTTAAAGGGAAGAAATCTCCCTGAACCTCGTCTTAAAACTTTTTACAAGACATCTAACTGACTTTGATGATTAACATCAAAGAAAACAAATTCTGAAAATGATCTGCCAACAACTAATCTGTGGCTTTTTCAATCTTCTTCCTATGTTCAAAGACAGAAGCTGTTGCAGAAATGCAATGCCTTTGAAAGCTAGCAGGCCTTTAGGTTAGAGCCTTATTGTTCTCAAATTTCACTTTTATGTCAATTAGGCTAACATGTGGTGGTTGGACACTCACTAATCCAATTGCAGCCGGGGCGGCTTGTTGAGCCTGACTGTGGGAGAGTGATTCTATTGTTCCTGACGTCCCCACACTGGGGGAATGATTGTGGCCGATGCGTCCTGCCCTGCTACGAGGCGGCTGAGTCCTCAGAAGAATCAAAGGTTAGACGCTCTGTCTCTGCCTTTGTCTTCAGTGGCTCATGCCGGCAGAGCAAAGACGCCTGTCTCCAACCTGTGCCCCATCACACAATAGGCTTCTACATCACTTATTTACAAGCTGACGGCTGTCCCAAATTATATGATAATGTTTGGAGAGAGGGACTCCTTTGAACTGCTGGGGGGGATGGTGCCTGTGCATTGTTTCACAGAGTACCCTGTACATCAACATGTCTCATGTACTTACTAATATATCACATTGGAAAATATATAAGTTACATAAAGCTGAGGGTATGATCAGCATTTGAAATATTTTTTTTACCCTTTAATGTGATTATTTAAGGCCTAAAAACTTAATTCAATTTGATATAATAGGTGTCACTTGCCAAAAAAGTTATGCAAAATCCATTTGTCGGTGTGGTGTGTCTTATAAAATAGTTACATCTTTTACCAATCAATCATTATTTGTAGATTGCCAATTCTCGACAAATGTTATCTCATGACACTTTACAAAAAGAGCAGCTGTAGACGGGACTCTTTGTCTTTTAGTGACACATCAGGCTCTCTACACAGGAGCCTGCGCAGGGCCCCGAGGCCCTCCAAAGGCCGCCGGGCTTCTCTTTGATGCCTGCATATCAGCGTCAAAAACAAGGGAGAAGATGGAGAAGAATTTCATTTTGAAGTGGCTGAGGGCAGGGAAGAAGGGGCTGAGGGTGGGAGGGACGTACGTGTGTGTGTGTGTGTTTTGAGAGAAGGGGGGGGGGATGTTTCTCAGGAGCTTGACAGTGCAATTACAACATTTCAACTGATCTCCCCCCCTGAAGTTGAGATAACATCAGCCAGTTGTTGTAAATGTCTTGCCTGTTCATTATCCCACTAACCTACATGAAGAGAAGATGTATGTTTATTAAAAAGGACAAAAAGGTCAGGACACAAAGTGAGTCGGCCTTTTATTTAAACATCTGGCAAGCCTCAAGTCAAAACTAAAAACCTGGAGTACACTTCTGCGGCAAATCGACGGCATAGCTGGGGCGGCCGGAAGCCTAGTGTTTGGTGCGCACACACCATGTGCAGACGCTGTAGTCCTCCAGGCCTTCCTGTCTGGCCTGCGGCTCCTTACCTGCATGTTACTCCCAGAATTCCCGCTCTGTCCACTGTCTTATCTCTATAATAAAGGCTATAAAAGCCCAAAAATAAATATTTGCCGTAGCTATGAGCCCTACATACTCGTTGGTTGGTGCGTCTGCAGAGCTCTGCAATAACAAACACTAGATATAACACGCTAAGTATATCGCCAGTGTCGGGTTCATTCTCTCCTTGTCTGTGTACAGGAAACCATGGCGACTGGAACAGAGCGTATTATGTTGGAAAAGTAGCATTCAAGCGTTCTTTCTTCTGCAGAATTCTGAAAAATGGCGGCAATAACGGAAATGTTGTAAACGCAGGAAATCGCGATGCCAACCAGACCAATCACAGGGCTCGTGATCTGCTTCATTTCGACGAGTTGTTACATTCTTGACGAGGTGCACGTCAGGCTACGTGCACAGGCTTCTGCGTACAGGTACAGGACAGGAAGTGAACCTATGGCGGTGATTAGACACAGAAGTGAAAATCCGGCTTTAGATCGACCCCTCAGCAAGCCTCACACCTGAAGTCCTAAATCCTCCAATTGTCCTCAGCCACGTGATGGTGAAGAACTCCAGGAAATAGAAAGATAAATGTGTGTGTGTGAGTGAGTAAGTGTCTGTGAAGGGAGTTAGAAGTTAAGAAGGGGGGGGTGGGGAGTCGGGGTCAATTACAGAATGAGTCCTTAAAAACAGATCGAGGGCTTTGTCATTCCTATGTGACGTGCCACTCAGTCTCCTGTAAGTGCTTGTTCTCACGCAATTACAGGTGAGTCATTATGCAGCGGCTCTATTGACACTGCTCGACTAATTGACCGGGGGAAGTCTTCAAAAAGCTTTTTATTTGGACGTTCTGCCATAAAAGCCGAGTGTTTATAGACAGTGAACCTCCCCTCAGGAACAAAGGGAGATGATCCTCGCTTTGCATCGGCCTGTTTGAGTGGGCGCACTCCATACCTCTATCTCAAATCTGCCTGGGTTTTTTTTTCTTCTTTCTTCTTTAGACTCAACAGATGTGAGAGGCCGGGTTGTGTGGATGTGTCCATGAATGAGGCTCTACAGTAAGTCATAGGACAAAGACACAAACGTGTTACCTTTTGGTTCAGCTTAAAGATGAGTCCTGTGAGCAAAGGTAGGGATCAGTGTTGGAGCAGATAGCTGACTTGATCTTTTTTTTTTGGCTTTTTATGCCTTTATTTAGAGACAGGACAGGGGATAGAATGAGAAACCGGGTAGAGAGAGGGGGGAACAAAACATGGGAACGGAGCCACAGGTTATCACTAGGATACCGACGCCCCCTCTTTGAACTTTTCTTTTAGAAAACTGAAATATATATTAAACTTTAGAGTGAAAAAATCCTGAATATTTTATAGTTCTATACAGACTGGATTGAAACACTTTGGTAAGTCCTGAAGCCGTTTTCATTCTTTTAACACACAAATGTGAAGTCTCGCTTCCTTTAGGTCTTCTTTTTAAAACTGCTTCATTCCCGTACACAAGTTTAAAGTTTCATACTTTCTCCCAGACCAGGTTAAAAAAAAAGACTAAAACTATTTTTCAAAATTGCTTACAAGGAACTTCTCCATCATTTTGTTTGATATATCAAGCTGTGAACGAACCATGCAACTTCTTTAAATTTGACGATATCACATTCAAACAAGCTCAGACTGAAATAAGCTGCAACTCCTCATAAATGAAAAGCTGGACAGAAAACAAAAACGAATTCACAAAGTATTTTTAAGTATTACACTTCTTGTCCCAGCTGTATGGAGTAATCTTTTATCGTCTCTCACTCACATCAAACCATGTTTTTTTACTCTTTAAAATAGAGGGGAAACAGTTGATTTCACTCAACCATTATCAGCCTAATTCACCCTGCTTCACTAATTAAAATATATTTGTTTACCCTGTGGGACTTTACAAGCCTGAAACAGTGATTTCATTGATTCTTATTGAGGTACTTTAGCAATCACAGCTGTACAACAATTGGCTCATAATCATTTCAAACTGTGCAGATGAATGTGCAAAACAAGGTGACCTAACACCTGTTGTGTTTTCATCTCAATTAGAACCCCTCAAAAAATGCAGGTTTCATCTACAGAGATCAAACTGAGTATTATAAAAAAAAAAGCTCACTGCCAACCTTGGCAATGCACAATGTTGGAGGTTGCCAAAGTTTTGAGATACAACTGTAGAAGGTCCAAATAAAAATAAGACCATATTTGTGTTACTGGTGACTTTTTTCTCCTCCAAAGACTCCGAGAGCACCAAAGTAAGAAAGTTCTGCTCGTTTCCATCACATTAAGTTGGCTGACGAACCAGAACGATCGAGTCATCCGACACCAATGTTATCAAGCAAAAAGCAGTGATACTCTGTTGTATAGAAACAAGTGTCCATGGACCAGCATGCATCACTCAGCTCTGTGCTTCAAACTGGAAAGAGTGAGTCTCCGCTCCGGTGCTCTGCTCTCTCCGTCCGTTGGAGAATCAGGAGGGGCTGCTGTGATGAAAGCTCATGTCAGTGCTGCTCCAGGTCACGGCCTCTTGTTTCACTCTCCCACTCATACTTCCACACACATGCACAGACACGCAAACACACACACACACACACACACACTCTTCTTATACTCTTTTTCAGGGTATATCATTTTTACACAAAGACACACACGCACGCATTCACGCACAGATCTGAAACCTTAGACCCTTCCCGCTGTCCATCTGTAGGGGTTATCTGTGTGACACCTCCTCTCACCCCCGTCTGTGACTCATCTCCACTCATCATGCACACCTCGCCACTGGCACATGGCAGCCGGGATGCTACGCATCGCATTTAAAGGGGATGAGGCTGTCATCGACGGAATACTTTGACCCCGGGGTCACAGGCATGGAGCACATACACACGCGGACACACAGTGTGTACAGTGCAGGTAGCGATGGGAAGAGGAGGATTTTATTCCTCAGGGTTCAGACACAGGTGAATTCATATTTAAAGGCTATATGCTAAATGCTAAATGTTGTCCTGAAGTGCTGAAAGTATTTGTTGATACATTTTACAACCATTTTAATAAGCAATTTAACCCCAA